TGACAGAACAAACACTCCAGTATCTATCTCCGTCACTATGAAAGGTCAGGTGTACACATATAGCCACACATACAAAACAAGTACCAGTGTCTTCCAGCAGTGCCACAAGGGATGGAGGATAACAGCTTAGATCATTAGTGAATACTCTTTATATCACAGCATGTAATACAGCTTGTTGTTCCAACTGATGGCTTGGCAGGCAGACACTCCATCCACTGGACTACTGACAATGGTGGCTATAGAACCAAGGTATTGAACCACAAACTGTCCATTCCCCAGGCAGACGCTCCATCCACTGGACTACTGACAATGGTGGCTATAGAACCAAGGTATTGAACCACAAACTGTCCCTTCCCCAGGCAGACGCTCCATCCACTGGACTACTGACAATGGTGGCTATAGAACCAAGGTATTGAACCACAAACTGTCCCTTCCCCAGGCAGACGCTTCCATCCACTGGACTACTGAACCACAAACTGACAATGGTGGCTATAGAACCAAGGTATTGAACCACAAACTGTCCCTTCCCCAGGCAGACGCTCCATCCACTGGACTACTGACAATGGTGGCTATAGAACCAAGGTATTGAACCACAAACTGTCCCTTCCCCAGGCAGACGCTCCATCCACTGGACTACTGACAATGGTGGCTGACAATGGTGGCTATAGAACCAAGGTATTGAACCACAAACTGTCCCTTCCCCAGGCAGACGCTCCATCCACTGGACTACTGATAATGGTGGCTATAGAACCAAGGTATTGAACCACAAACTGTCCATTCCCCAGGCAGACACTCCATCCACTGGACTACTGATAATGGTGGCTACAGAACCAAGGTATTGAACCACAAACTGTCCATTCCCCAGGCAGAGACATTCTCAACCATTACCTGGTAAGCTGGTTTCCCTTTCTTAAACCAATGTGGACAGGTATGGTGCAGACTGAACAAAGGATGTCAGGACAAATCCACAAAAGCAAGGTTCCTGGCAGTGATTCAGCTAGACCAAGTAACACAAATTAGCCCTTAGTTTACATGATTCCGTTTTAGAAAAATAGAGGAATATTAGAAAACAGAGCAAACATTTCTGAAAAGTTGTAAAGATATGAAGACATGAAACTTTTATGGATACAACTTTTGTATTGCTTATAACACAATTTCAGGGTTAGATCCTGCCTTAATGCCAATCAAAGATGTGAAAATTTGCCACAATATTTAAATTTTCTCCAGCTGCTAAAACAAAAGAAAACATCTGTTTCACATCAGTTGATGTGATCCAGCAAAAATTAAGAAGAATCTCACACCTTAATATTCAAATCAGAGCCATAACCTAAATATATATATACCTTTAAACCTAAATATACCTTTAAACCAACACACATTACATAAACCACAACAAGGAACTGACCTGTAAGATGAGGCGTGTATACAGTGAATCCTACATGGCCCTACAGTATTGTGTGACCCTACCTACAGGAGAGTGCACATATGCCTCATCACACAGACAACCAGAGAAAAATCAATCATTGTTTCTTCCCAATTACTCACATTAAGATTTAATCAAAGCATGCAAGCCAATCAGGTTTTTTTACAACTGCCATCTGGATCATGCAATGGCTGGTGTGTGTGCTATGTGCTGTGGTGCATCGATCAATGAAGAGACTTAAGGGATAACGTTTGCAAACATTTGGGAAATATGGATCATTCCTTATGGATCCATACCATTTCAGACCTAATCATTACTACTTAGCATGTTGGGACATCCCTTGACATTGTACTTTTTCATCATCTTAAAACATTACTTAAAATTTTTCAAAATCAGGTAGGAACAATAAAATTCAATTTCATCATGATAATTGTCTCATCAAAAAGAGGTAGTCAAAAAAGTCATGATCAAACGCTACTACCAGTTTAGTCTCATCAACAAAAAGCCTTATGATCAAACGGGGGGATGGGTGTGTGTGTGTGTGTGTTTTTTGTTTTTTTGTTTTTGGGTTTTTTTTGTGTGTGTTAGCCTAGTGGTTAAAGTGTTCGCTCGTCATGCTGAAGACCTGGGTTTGATTCCCCACATGGGTACAATGTGTGAAGCCCATTTCTGGTGTCCCCACCGTGATATTGCTGGAATATTGCTAAAAGCGGCGTAAAACCATACTCACTCACTCAAACACCACCACAAATTATCTTCAATTTTTTGCTTTTTCTATTAAGGAAGGATTATCTGAAAAACAAGACTAATAACTAAGTTGCTCTGCCCAATATTCATTTAATAGAGAATTCATAAAAATCACAGGGGGCACAGGGTACTGGCATAAGTCACCAAAGTCGTCCAGTGTGCAATGTGCAGAGTTGCATCCTTTGGCAAGCCAGAAATCTAGGCTCAAGGGTATGAATCCTGTTTTGCCTGACTACATTTCACCCACTCACAACTAATTTACAACCATAAACCAGACAAATCCCACATTAAACAGACTATATTCTGAACTTCCCACTCATCTTTAACATGATATGCTTGTCTCTTGTGTCTTTTTATAAAAAACACTCATAAATATTTCAAAGATTCAGCAATACCATCTGTCAACAAGACCCAGTGACACATCTTGTCTTTTGTAGGAAGAATCTTACACCTGTAATCAAGCGTTACCTGCATATTTCATCACAACACTTGTTCAACCATAGCTTTCTAATTTACAACAAAGCACAAACGCCATGAACCATCTGTCTGGGACAGGACCTGCATGTGAAACACGGTCACCATTATGACTTGCATGTGCTCAACATTATGACATGCAGTGAAACACGGTCACCATGACTTGAATGTGAAATATACCAGGGCTCCAGATAATTTTTCATGATCAGGAGTACGTACTCCTTATTTTTTTCAATATAGGAGTACTATAAAACAATAAGAGTACATTTAGAGTACTGAATGGAATTTAATGGAGTATCAGTAATCTTGTGTTTCGTTTCATATATGCACCACAACATTGCTACTCTTGTGTAAACAGGTCAATAAACAATAAAGCAATACTTTTTCAGATAAATACGTCTGTAAATGATTCTAAGACCGTACACCATTGCTGTAGTGCGTATCTGCTACGTTTCCTAAATTATTTCCTACCGTATCGTGCTTATTTCATATCCGTACATACGTCGATACGCCCCTTATCTGAAGTATATACTTCCCATCAAATGTTTAGACTCACTAGTGTAAATGTAGCCACTTACTTCAGGCAACTGTTCTCAACTAAATTTTGCAAAATGTTCCATACTGTTTAAAGGTACTGTTTTCACATGAACTGATTGTAAAACAAATTCATAATGTTGAAAAGATTATTGTCATGAGTTCTAGAAATGATAAAACTCAATGAAAATAGGCAAATTATTTACAAAACTTTACACCAAAATGCAACTGTTCACATGCATGATATTTGCACATGATTTACAGCAATTTGATGCATGATCCTCTTGCAATTCATCTGCATAAGGTTTGCAGTTGATTCCCCTTGTTAGTGGAGGAATCAATCTTCGATGTAACCATATATATACATAATATATAGTGAGTGTTTTCAGTGAGTCTAAACTTTTGATGGGAAGTATATTTACTCAGAATTGCTTAAAATTCTTTACCACCTCATACAACCTGTCAAAATCCTGATTGAACATAAACTGAATATTAACAATATGGAAGTCAAGTTGTGGTGTGATCTTATCTACACAATATACCTGATAGGTAAGAGTTATACTTCGAATGCTGAATACACAGACCCAGTTGAGTCACTTAAGCCAGCTGTTTACAAGACGACACAGACAAACATGAGCACATGACTTTCCTGAATCTCCTCACAGTGAAGACTTTTCCTCTGCCATCTACACAAACTGCACAGTCAAGATGTCATGTAGTGGAGTTTGGAAGTTCAAAAACCAGCTGCTTCAGAACATTTTGTGTCCTGGGTCATCATTGAAGGAAGACATTATGTGTTTACTTAACTGGTGGATCTTTGGCCAGTCAGCCAGAACAAGAAAAACTCCTGTGATGACTAGTGGTGTTCCGATTAATTGAAATAATCAAAGATTGGTCGCAGTGACCAAACGACCAAGCAATCAATCACATTTTCTCATAATCGAAAACACAAACGATTTTGGAACTACTGTTTTAGTCTTTGAAACACTTGACGATGGAACATATCTTCGAAGTTGTCAGGGCTTGCAAACTTGTTTAATTCTTAGAATACTTACTTCACTAACTGAAAAGTCATGACTGAAAATGTCTTGAAGACTCCAGGAAGTTTATGGTCATGATATATTAGTCATTACTTTAAAGTAGCAAGTTGCAGCATCTTATACCTATCTGCAATAACAACCTGGATAGGAAAATCTCAAAAATGATGCTAACCAATTTTTTTCGATGATTGTTCGTTGGTAATGAAACAATCATCAATTGTCAGATTTCAACCAGTTCCCAACACTAGTGATGACTCAAGTCAGTTGCCAACTGAACAAGTCAACAGCTTGTCCTCACACATATTGTGTACAGATCTTTGCCAGTGAGTTTTGGGACGGATTGTTGGTCTTTTTCATAAATGGCCATCTTTTCTTCTTAAATCTACTTCTGAGACTTGAGTTCTGTGTACTTTCTATACCGGGAAAAAAATTGATGTCCTATTTTAATCAATACCTGTTTTGTGTTTTCTCTTTTGTTTATCCAATAAGAAGAATGTGATGTAGCATGTCACAATGGAGTATTTATGTCCCCATATCCCTGGAGATGAAATAATCATCAATAGATAACTCGGCTGTTCTCCTTTTAATAACAGATCTTTCTAAGCAGGCAGTTCTGTTTCCTTGAAACAATGAGACCAAAACAGAGCTTGCAAATAGAGACTTCTCTCTTCACATTTGGACAAAGGAACTTAGTCCCCACAAACAAAAAATACACTCTAGAAATCTCAACTCATGTGAAAACAGCAACACAGTCTTCCTACAAGTACAAGCATTGAACTTACTGCAATTCTTTGTGCGTCCAGGCAGATTCGTGTGATTCATACCAGGTCTGATCATGTAATTCCTCGTACAATGCTGAGGCAAGCACCTGTATACAACCTGACATTATGGATTGTAACAGTACTCGGTGATCTCTCAACCAAAACACTCACAATGGTAGCAGTTATTGCAAGACCTAAAGAAGCTGTGACACATCATGCTGACATGAATGACAGCAGTAGAAACTGCTGAAAAATCTTGTAAACATATAGGACAAGGTTTGATCTGGGACCTTTGGGGACCACAGGATACACTTCATCATGAAATACTTCGTTCATCGAAACAAGGACTGTATATAGTAATACACTTTTCAAATAAAATGTTTTCCAGTATTTTCTGTGTGTTCCGGTATTTTCTGTAAATAAAATATCACAAGTTATATTATTATTTTTATTGTTTGACCTAAATTCTTCACAAAAATTCACAGAGATGTGTCGTTGTGAAATCGACTGACAAAACAGCAGATGTGCTGTAATGATTTTCTCCGTTTCATATATTCCCTTTATTGATGACTACAAAATAGCAGTGACAAACTGAGTAACATTACTTACCGTGAGAAAAATGATTTTCATGTGTCACTCAGTGTCAATCACTGTCAAACTCCTAGGTATCCAATACATCTCAATACACTGCAATGTCATGGTTTGGCCAACTCACAACACTAATCTAAACATTGTTTTCACAACACTAATGAGTAGACAGAAACTAGAATGTCACAATAATCCTGATTGACTAGAAGTGTTTTCCTAATATTTGATCTGGAGAAAGTCTTTGAACCTAGCTAATTTTCTATAAAAATGTAGATGAGATTGGTACAAAACTAGCATCAAATAATACATCCTGAGTCATGGACATGCTCACATTTTAGATTTTCTCTTCAAGATTGAAAAACTTGTCTCTTTCACTCATTTTAGCTCTACTAAAGCATTTGATCATATAGAAGTCCAAAACTAACAAGTTTAAGAAATAAAAAAGGTAAATTGTCAAACATGATTCATATTTTCAAATGTTTCAAAGTTTTCTGTTATAGAAAATTGACAAACCATCTATGGATTTATAAAAGTACCATTTATTAACATTTGTGGATATGACATTGACAGCAGATCCAACCACAGACCTTCACTCTCTGGGCAGACACACTATCCACTTGACCAACGGACCAGTTAAAATGATGACCTATCTGAAAGGCTTTTTCCAAATGTTACTGATGATCTATATTTAAAAATTACCACCTGAAACAAGGTAGACGCTGTCACTTCAGAGAGACTAGTTGAGCTGCCACAAGTTGGATTTGATAAACAATCTCTCCCCCTGGTGCCGAGTGATTTATGATATTATCATGTTACAATGGTTTTATTGTGAGAGTGACTTAAGTGAGTATATTGCCACTTTAAACATTATTTCTGTACCACCATGCTGAGTCAAGTAACACAGAAAGAAATCACACTGAGGCTTGTCGTAAACAACCATCTGTTTTTCGAAATCAGCGAACACAGTACAATGTTGACACATCAAGAATCGTAATCAGGGCATAGCTTGACCTCTGAACGTCCACAAGTCACAATTGGAACAACTGGGCCACCTTGTCCACCGATTTATCTAAACAACTGACATATATTGGCCTGTTGCTGGTCAGTACGTATGTATGTCAACAAATGGTCTGTTAATGTCCCATCTCCCAGTGAGCCCGCAATACCTCCCACTGGCAGTGTTATAGACAAGCAACTCAAGCAGAACTATCACAACATCATTATGAACAGTCACCTGAGGTCAGCGAAATAGACGACTGATTATACCAAAATCTGCATACCACTGACAACACCTCCTTAACAGAATGTACGTAGCTTTATGGCAATCAGTGACACAATGGGAGATATTTACTAGGTAGATAATTGATATACAGGGTAGTTATTAGATATATAGGGTAGATAACTGATACTGACAATACTCAATTACCTTGGTTACAGCATATCAGATCTCCTAGATTTTTCTGTTAAGGTAGATGAGCGCTATATACATAGTTTCCATTTTTTATACTCATTCTCAACATTTGATAAAAGCCTATGGAACATATACAATATTTTTTATGATTCACATTCTATATGCTTAGTTTTTATTTAAGTCTATACGATTTTTAAATCGATAATAGTCATAAGAACTTCCACTTCCTGTCCCTACAACCCACTTTAGTCACTCAGCATTTTACCCATGAAGATCTGTGTCTGGGTTAGAATTGGTCTTAAGGAATCCTTGCTTATCCAATGCAAAGATCAGGTTAGCATTGGCCTTCAGGAACCTATGGCTTATCCCCCATGAAGACCAAGGTTAGAAATGGTCTTTGCCTACTAATATTATCCGCTGTGAAGGTTGAGGTAATAATTGGCCCCAAGCTTGTTCTGAGCAGGAACATTATGGATTGGGTGGCTGTGTGTCAAGGTAATAATTGGCACCAAGCTTGTTCTGAGAAGGAACATTATGGATTGGGTGGCTGTGTGTCAAGGTAATAATTGGCACCAAGCTTGTTCTGAGAAGGAACATCATGGATTGGGTGGTTGGGTGTCAAGGTAATAATTGGCACCAAGCTTGTTCTGAGAAGGAACATTATGGATTGGGTGGCTGTGTGTCAAGGTAATAATTGGCACCAAGCTTGTTCTGAAAAGGAACATCATGAAGCCCTTTTGTCATTTCCAAACCTGCACTTCACAACCAGCCATGAGAGTGGCCTGTTTTGAATAGAAATAATAATAATAATAATAGTCCATTTATCATGCGCATTTCTCCACGCATAATGCATGCTCGAAGCACCCAAACAATCTGAATATTATTTCCCCAGATAACCCAAGCTGCCTGTTAGGTGCTAGAAGGTTAATAGTCACATGACCTATCCCACCAGGTACCCATTTTCTGCTGGGTGAACAGAGGCAATTTTGAACAAACTCACTTGCCTAAGGTGAAACCACATGTATCACGTGTGCTTCATTGTGGGGCAGGACTGAAGTCCTAGAAACTCTTAGGAGTCAAGCTGCCATACAAGGACTCTACGCATTCAACGTTGCTTAACTTCAACTGATTTGTGACCTGAGCACTATGCACGGAACCACACAACACCACATTTTTGAAACCACTTTAATATGAAGATACAAAATACAAGGATATTACAATATTTGCATGTAATTATTAGGAATGGCTGACCCCATGACATACAATTTAACTTAACAAGACTGAAGATTGTACTCGTAGTGTAACCTTCAACTGTGACAAGAAATCTCCATCACCATCAGCCCCAACCAACACCCATCAAGGCCACCGTCATGGATTATTCATGGGCAGCCCTGATAGTAATTAGGGGTTGTCCCATTTGGCTTGGCTCTTTGGCCTGATTTGTGTGCACTGGGAAGCATATGCTGACCAAAAGAAGTTAAGGAATACCCACAGCTGGAAGGTTGTGTCTTGCAATACTGAATGAATGAATGAATGAATGAACTGTTTATTAACGTGTCACGCATAAAATTACAAGGTATACACACAATAAATATACAAAGATAAAATAGATTATGCAGGGCCTCAATAGGCCGAAGAGACACGGTATAAAACTGTAAAATATAACTTATTTCAATAAGATAAAATAACCGTACAGTACAATGTATATATAAGGTACATAAAATTGTAAAAATATTTAATAAAATAATGACTAGATAGAATTAGTTGAAATATTCTTAAAACATTTACGACGATAAAACATCTTAAAACACATTAAACCTAAGTTAGATAAGAAAGCAGTAGAAGATACCAAAACATTAAATTTAAAATAAAATAAACTTCCCAGCCATGTTCCCCAGCCATGTCACTAACTATAGATTAATTATAGTCATAATGACTTAACTTTCAAAAAAAAATTCCCTCGTTCTAGCATAACCTTTGCTTTGTAAATATTTGTAAATATGTACCGCTTTGAGCATGCTTTGTGTGTGGAATTCAGCGCATAATAAATGCACGTATTATTATTAGTATAATAAAAACTTATGTTTTTTCAACTTTTGTTTAGTGGTTTGTTTACCCCAAATAAAGTTATCTACTTTCATAAAAAATAATGACGTCAGTACACAGAAAATAGTTTGGGTTTGTTTGTTTGTTCTTTTTTTTCAGGATTTAAGCAGAAACAGAGCTTCCCATCAATAATCAATTCTTTATTCAACATTACATTTGGGAATACACTTTCTCAGAGAAGTACCAATTCTTGAACTTTCAGGATGAGTCCCATCTGGGATGTGAACTCACACTCTCATGGTCAGGGACCTGATTAGGGTGACTATTGAGGGGAAACAACTCTTGTGACAGCGATAGTCTATTGCAACATGGTATTGTGATAGTGATAGACTATTGCAACATGGTATAGCGATAGTGATAGTCTATTGCAACATGGTATTGCAATAGTGATAGTATATTGCAACATGTTATAGCGATAGTGATAGTCTATTGCAACATGGTATTGTGATAGTGATAGACTATTGCAACATGTTATTGCGATAGTGATAGACTATTGCAACATGTTATTGCGATAGCGATAGTCTATTGCAACATGGTATTGTGATAGTGATAGTCTATTGCAACATGGTATTGTGATAGTGATAGTCTATTGCAACATGGTATTGTGATAGTGATAGACTATTGCAACATGGTATTGTGATAGTGATAGTCTATTGCAACATGTTATTGAGATAGTGATAGTCTATTGCAACATGGTATTGAGATAGTGATAGTCTATTGCAACATGTTATTGCGATAGTGATAGACTATTGCAACATGTTATAGCGATAGTGATAGTCTATTGCAACATGTTATTGCGATAGTGATAGTCTATTGCAACATGTTATAGCGATAGTGATAGTCTATTGCAACATGTTATAGCGATAGCGATAGTCTATTGCAACATGTTATAGCGATAGTGATAGTCTATTGCAACATGTTATAGCGATAGCGATAGTCTATTGCAACATGTTATTGCGATAGTGATAGACTATTGCAACATGTTATTGCGATAGTGAT